CATGTCAATGAAAAATTTACATCAAAAGGTGATGTGATAGTGCGAAACTTCGATAATAGTCCATTTGCATGGGTCTCTGAGAACAACGGATTTCAATACCTTAAATTTCCTTTTTTGGAGACATTTTTGTTGATAATGAAATACAAAATGGTTTCATTATTGATCTTGAAAAGCGATATTCATCTAAATACCAGGTCAACTTCCAGTGAAGTTTCGAGATATGTTGAGAAATCATTTGAAAACAGACTTAGACTTTATTACTGTTTGGAGCACAACAGAGCAATATACTGACGTGTCCTTCCGACTTTTCACATTGTTTTCTGCAAGTAAGATATCAAGGGGTAGTTTTCAAATGACATACTGTACATATCCCTGTTTTATTTGCTAATGCGATGAATGCGCAAAATAAATATTTAAAACCAGCATTCACTTTAGTTATTGAAATCTCATGCTGTTGATCTTGTGACCTACTGTAAATGTAATAACAACCAGAAGTATAAGTGAAGGTCAATGTGTTCGTTTGGAAATATGGATTGGCAACTATCTGAAAGTCGAAAGGATACCGTTATTGAAGGCTTCGTGATAACGAGTACACGCAGTGGAAAAAAAATCAACAACACTCATATCAGATGAAGATACATAATAATAATTATGAACACAGCTAAAGATACAATATAATAATTATGAACACACAAGTAAGGTCGCTTCAAGTGAGATTAAACTGATCAGAAAAATTGTATAATTATTTTACATATGAATTTCCGGTGGGTAAATTTATATTTAGTATCAGCATGGCACCCGTGCGTAACCGGGACGGATAGCTTGCAGTATAATATAATATAAATTATATAGTAATACTACAGAAGGCCGCGACAGGAATTTGCACCAGTTTCGACAAAACAAATATATGTTCTGCTCAATTTTTGAACAATGCAAATCAAAAAGGTGAAAATGTAGCAAAATTACGTTCATTAATAACATTATTAGAAAAATGTGAAAATATCATGAAGATACTCCGTGCCAGAAATCGCACTTTAAAATGTAGGACCTCATCAATCCTTAGCTCGTACAACTGTTAACTTCAGAGGGTTGTCGTTCGTAAGGGAACGACAAATGGTTAACGTAAACTATATTTTGTTCTTCTTCGACATCGACTAGTATAGTCATTAGTCCCGTGTTCTGCGTAGGCTACGTTAATCACTCTCCGAGCCACGAGGGGAACCTCAAGGTTCTTCGCAGTCACGTAAACAGAATCAACTCACTACAAACTAAATAAATTAGCGCCAGGAAACATATGGTCTAAGTTGGATTCCAGAGTCGAAAGCCTGTCACCAATCGAAGATATAATTCACCAACTAGGGGAGCGATAGCTGGTTAACGGTTAACGATTCAATTCCAAATCCAGACCTCGCTTAGATCCGAAATGACTTGCCAGCTTGTTTCGAGAAGGTTGAACAAGTCGTCAAATATATCAATATATTTCAAACCAGGTCTGCATTTAGCATAGTTGAACGAAACCGGTTCGTAATATTTCTATTGCCGCTATATTTATAACAACTTACTGACGACTTGGTATTTGGGGTACCTGGTTGGTTAGCACAACCATTTGCGCAAACATTCTCAAGGTTGTGATGGAATGGGCTGAAAAAATCCATGATACATGTAATCGACACACTTTACAGTGAAATTTTCACTAAACCTTTTACAAAACTGCACACATTTCACTTTACAATAGCTTCTTCAAGCGTCTTCAATACTAAATATTCAGTATAGAACACGTCTGAAGTAGCTATTGTATTGTAAACATAGGTTGCGGTTTTGTGAACTCGTTAGTGAAAATCTCAAAACTCAGTTGGCTTTAACGTTAGGGATTGCATGATCAGATAGTTTGTTTTAGGTTTGACCGGTCCTGGTTTCCAAGGTCTTCAAGTAAGCTGAGGTTAGGTCAGCACCTAAACTCTACATCGGGTGGATATGAAACTTTACCAGTTGTCTAGATCCAACGATGGTAGTGAATCATTCTTCACTCTTTTTCTTTCCGCAGCCGCCTGCTCCTTCTTTATCTATATAAACTGAATCTCTCTTTTTAAGTTACCAAACTAAGTTACCTGACCTTTGACCTACCTTTTGGTACTCATCATGAGAAGGTACTTTTCGATTTTGGATAAACATTATCGGTTGAAAATGAAGAAGTTGCTCAAAAAAAAAGGATTTTTTGAAATGCATATTTGTGCATATCTTGTTAGTCGCAGGATAGTTAGTATACCTATGTATGAAAAGTTGTAGAATTATTGCAGGCGATCCCGTTATTCAATGCTACATAAGACCCCTTTTTGTAAATTCCTGCTGGTTTCTTATTTTCATATTCAATTTCTCAAAAGTATGAATCATTGAAAACGCCAGTCATTCATGTATACAATGCTTGGCAACGGTAAGCCAGAGCACAAGATATAGATTGAATTTTTTGTCATTTTTTTAGGAAGATGAACTTGGGAGAATATTCATGGCCCCAAGAAGTAGAAGGTACCCATTAAGAACTCGATCAATATTCGCTTCATTTGATTAAAATTGAAACAAGTTTCAATTGAATTGCAGTAACTGTCAATATACCTTTACTTTTATCATCTACTAGTTCCACTCGTGCATCATATCAGCTGATTATCATACTGTCTCATTAGAGACAATATGATAATCAGCTCATTAGTGTTTTTTTTCCATTTTTTATCAAAGCTATTTTGTATACCTACCTACCTATCTACTTTTATTTCAAAATCCTACAGGAATACGGAATAATAAACCACTCAATAACTGATAGTAATAATAATACTAACATGAAAATGAATATAGATGTGTGGATAGATCCGAATGTTCGAAACATAAATTTGACATCAAATGTCATTTTAAGGGCAATACTAATAAAAAAGTAAATTCTTCCAAATCTCGAAACGGCATATGCCGAATTCACATATGTAATATTGGTAATAACAAAAACTCATTTAATATTTTTTTAAATTCATATTACCGTCTTTTCAACGACTAAAAACAGTTTTTCCAGTGTTCTTAGTAGCAGAACTAGGTATTCGAAAGGACCAAGGAGTGGGTGACATCTAGGGCTAGAATTTGAACGTCAGAACTGAGAAAAACATTGATTATATTACGATTAGAAACCGTAGTCACAAAAATTCAAATATTTGTTGTTACATCAACTATTGTAATATTTTCAAAATTGTAAAGAGAACTGATTCTATGATGACTAGTGAATCTAAAAGGTATTGTTCAATGAGCTGGACGGCTAATTAAGTATCAAATCACAACTTCCTTCAGACAAACAAACACTTTTTTCTACTCCCGTACGTGAAATAGTACTTTCACACACCGTTCACGAATCGTAAAATGTAATTTCACGCCCTTGTGCGTGAAATTNACTATTAATAATCATTATTATTCCACATCAGAATGAAAACCAAAAATAATAATCTCAGTATAAGAATTAATTGTTAATTTTATAATATAGGTACTTACTAATTATTCTGAAATTCAATAAAGCTCTTTAAACTAATGGTGCTTAATTTTCTCTGTATGGTCGTAGAAAAAGTATAGTGTGCAACGTGTACGTGAAGACTTTTTACACTCGCGTTGTTTGCTTGTGTAAAAAAGTCGATTTCACGCACTTGTTACACAATATACTATTTTCAAACTGAATCACATGACAGCTGTCAATGTCAATTGTTTTTTATTCCTCTCTTTGTTCTTCAGCCGCATGGCTTTTACCGGTAATCCATAATTTTAAAACAAATAACGATTTTTAGTAAATTAATTTAAATTCTTCTTTATATGTAGTGACTTATTCTATTGTATTGACATGTTTCAATTGTTTAAATGTAACATTCTGTTGGACATGGCCATCCTCATCAACAGTAAGTTGAGCCCTTTGAAATAATTTAATATATCATCATACAAATTTTGTAGCTCTTCCTTGAAGATGTTATCGAAATATCGGAATAACTTGTGTTCCAAGAGTACACTTCCGTTTTGCTAATCACCCAAAGATATCTTTCAAGTTTTGTTCTTAACTAATCAGCAAACACTGTCCTTCAAATAAAAGAATCATGGCGGAGCAGCCAAGTGCAAAGATTGGCAACACTTGTTTGCCGAAAATAGGAAACAACACATACGCTCGGAGCCAACAACAGATGCCAACCGCATATTTGTGGTTCCAGTCAGAAGACCCAGAATTCCCAGGCTACATCTAACATAACCACATAGGCAGCTATAGCTACCTGCGTGACATCCGGGTCCAGGATATAAATACAGATAGAGATATTATGGAGTATGTATTATATGGACACGTGTTTCTGGTCATTTTCGGCAAACAAGTGTTGCCCATCTTTCCACTTAACTGCACCGCGCCAGAAACACGTGTCCGCGGTTTACTCCCCTTTTGGAGTGATGTGTCCACGAATTGTTTCATTTTTCATTTTTATCATACACACTATCACTAGCCTGTTCGGCATCATCCGTGCAGGAGGTCCTCGACTGAAGACAAACTATGAAAAACTAAAAGGAGTACTTCATAAAAATCACTGTGAGAGCATATTACAAAAGGTTGAAGGATTCGAAAATGGCAAATGAGCCACTTTTGTCTATAGATTCGAATCAGGTAAGCACGGGAAAATTATTCTTTCAAAGTTATGATTGAATTTTAGCATCCTAACATCAGGTACATTTGAAAACCGAATATCTTGTTTTCCGATCAGTTGGATCATTCGGCACTCCCAACATGAACTTGGTGAAAAGATAGGTTGAACGATCCCGGCAAAAAATTCATTGCCAGTATTTCTTGAAAGTAGACTAATTACACAACTGTCATTAACATACAATTACAAGTACATATTCAATATGAATTAGGAACGAAATATTTACCTACGTCAGAAATATATTCACACTGACAATGATGTTCAAAAATTGAAGATCATTTGTAAACTGAAAGATGTACTTACCAACTTATATGTAGCTCCAGATATTTGACGAATGATTAATATTTTTTCAGTCACCAGTTTATCCGAAATAGGTTTTCAACCACGAAAAGAAAACCCCTCTTCTAGCTAGCACTTTTATACGGCCGATAATTTCGACGTTTTCAGACGATTTTGTGAATTCGGGTCACGTCATATCAGTCACGTCACTAAGATGAAATGTATGGAGCTGAATGGGTATGCAACTAACCCTACTTTCTGTTGCCCTCAAAATTATCTAACTTATGTGTCGCGTTTTTACGTTTAATTGTGTTCCGAAGGCGCAAAGTTTAATCTGTTAAAATGTCTACAGCTCCATAATTTGCACAATTTTGCTATTTGAATGTATGTACTATATATAACATGCAATGAATATTATTCGAATAGATTCATATTCATTTACTTCATGACATTTTTGCATCTGTTTATTTATATACTGATAGTAAACAAACATTTGATTGGATACATTATGAAAATTTAAGAAATTGTTATAATATGGCGTTAAAAAATGCGAAATAACTCCAGCAATGAATAATTCAAAATAACCTTAAAACTCTATGGAAGGACCTGAATGACATTATTATACAAACCAAAGGATAATAGATGTAATCCAAAATTTGTAAGGAACTGCTAACGATACTGATGATTACTTTGTAAATAGGGCTCAGGATATATTCCTGATCCAGATATCGAAAATCTTGAATTTTATAAAAATAATAGAAGAACCCGTGAGGCTGAATTCAATTTCAGAGTAGTTACTCAAGATCAAATATCAGAGCAATCGTTTTCAATATAATACAACTTTATTAGTAAAAAAATGTGAAATAAAAGAGCAACAGTCATCGAACATAATTTACTTTCCTGATGCTTGAAAAATAACTCACATTTTGCCAATACCAAAAATAAAGAACTTCAGGAAATGAAAGATTTGCGACCAATCAGCATTTTATCTGTGTAATAAAAAATAAAAAAAACGAATTATCTTAAAGAATAATTTATTCACGGCAGTCTCAAATTACCTATCGGAAAACAACTACTCCCCTGGCTAATACCACGAAGGGCGTTGGGATTATGTGCAGGATTCTTCACTAAAGTTATTCCTGCATATGCTGTTGGCGATACAACTGTTGGAATCGATATTCAATCATTGGAACACACTTGCAGACTGGTTTCTTGCAGTTTAAGCCACTCGTCAGTGAAAGGTAGTGTCTATCATCAACATGAAGTCGATGATAATTGAAAATAGAACTCCCTTCGCAGTATCATTCCTCGAACTAGGCGGAAGCGAACAACAAACAACATGTTTGTCAACGCCCCATCTGCCTGTGAACTACTCCCCTGGTAATTAGCCAGGGGAGTATTTGTTATTCGATGGGTGTCAGTCCATTAACCTACAGTGTAGGTGATTTGAGACTAGCCTGAACGAATTATTGTTTTAGATTATTTGAATTGCAGCCAGTCTCCAAGTATGGCCTCTCATTTTGTATTAGAAAAAAATCTGAATATTAATATGAAGGCATATTTGGAAAAATTCAACATTCTTCCTTGTACCTTCTGCTTTCCGCCCAAATCATGGCTATACAATAGATTTGCTGATGGTTACCGATGACATATTATATGAGGCTAATAAAAATGAAATGAGGCTAATAAAAATGAAATTACTGTCTTAATGTTATTGGAATATACAAAAACCATCGATAGGATAGACCATAGATTGCTTTTAACAATCCTGCGTTACTATGGTTTTGGAGGTGATACTATTGCCTCAATAAATCATTATTTGTCGTCAGCAGTCTGTCAAAGTGAGAGGTGTTTTTTCAGAAGCCCTGAAACCTAGCAGTGGATTCCCTCAGAGGTCGTCAGAGTGTCCTCATAGAACACACTTTATTTACTATATAGACTACAGATTCAAATTCGTATGTTACCTACATTCTGCAACACTCATTATTATACAAACGGCACGCCAATGTATTACTCATTCAAACAAATCCTCTATCACTCTTTAACAATCTGTATCTATCAAAAGAAAACAGCCACCGTTATGTTATTTGGAAATAAATCGCAGATTTTTCTCATAATCTGTATATTGTATATTGTATATTGACTGTGATCTAAATTTTCTCATGTGAACATTTGTATAAAAAATGCATATGGCAATTTGAAAATTATTTCTGGCAACAAAAATTTACTGAGTAAAATATCCTTGATTAGATTGCACGACCCAAGCAATTTTTTTTCAAAAATCTGCATAAAATAATAGTTTTCCCAAGATCCTGTTATATTTGGAGGTAGTGATGGTGTAAATGTGAATTTTATGCCTTCATCAGTAATTGCTGAAGAATTAACATCTTGATATTTTCTAAATTCCTCGTTAGCTCCTGCTAACTTGCTAACCTCTTTAATTTGTAGTTCGCACTATAATACGAACGAAAACATTGTTTGAAATACACCACGAAAACTATGTTTTTGTGGTGTATTCCATCAGTTCGGACTTCCATTGTCTAATATAATATAAATTTATTTGAAATCAATAAAAAAAAATTAAAATTAAAAATAGATTAACCGAAAATCACAATTTTATTAAACAAAAAACTGAAATCACACAGAGATAGCATAAAAACAACAACAAAAGAAAAAATAAAAAAATTAAATATTAGTAAAAGATGAAAATTAAAAAATTTAAAAACATTAACAAAAAATTAAAAATAAAAATTAAAAGATTCCAAACCAAGTTACGTCACGACGTTTCGATTGTTAGTGTCCACAATTGTCTTCTGGTGATATCACCCGATTTCAAATCAATTTATATTATATTGGACAATATATTTTATCATATAATTTGCGTACGCCACTGCCAAAAACAGATTGAGGCAAGAACGTCAGTCATTTCTAAGAATTTAGTGCCTACTATTTTGGAACTATAGTATAACAGATTTTTTTAGGGGTGCCTTATCTTGCATAATAAGATTCGATGAAAATATAGAAATGTAGAAGGATAGTAATACATTTTCAACGATTCTGACAATATTCATCTTGAACACTTTCGCGTCTATTAATATTCCAGCAATGTAGAAGTCAACTCGAAATTAATTATCTGCGAAACAATTTCGTTTGTCCATTTCAGACTAAAGGCTTTCTGCTCACCATTTAGACAAAGTCTTCTTATTGAAGTTTCATCAACTAGACTTACTGTCGAGGCCTCGGTCCGAATAATACACTGAAAGAATCCTACCTGTGTCATGTTTTACAGCACATACCAATTCTTTAGTATTACCTGTTGGAACTTCAACATCATTAGATGCAGCATCCGACTGAAAGGAATATCCTTTGTGGAAAAGTGATTTACTGCGAATAGATTCATATTCATTTACTTCATGACATTTTTGCATCTGTTTATTTATATACTGATAGTTTGAAAAAATGTGTTTAAAATATGTTTTTCCGCTAACCAGCTGTCGCACCCCTACGAACGACAACCCTCAGAAGTCGAAACTTGTGCGAGTTAAGGAATAATGAGGTGTTGCCTTTTAAAATATGATTCCTAACACGTTATTCTCAAGAAACATTACCTACATGTTAACTACAACTGAAACTTCAGAAACTAGTAGTTTACTTTTCCATAGAGGATTGGGAATAATAAAAAAAAATTCTAAAGTGCTTCAACTATAGGTACGAACAATAAAAAATTTAGTTCACAAAACTATGTACAGTAGAAACTAGTATAAGTGAGTTATTTTCAAATACTCATCTATTTACTAGCAATCAATAGATTTTATTTGTTTTTGATGTTTATTTTTGATATCATCTCACTTAAAGGATGTATAGAAAAAACAAATTACACCGTTTCTTCAGCGAACAGAATTAAAAAATATCACTTGTAACCATTCCTTGACTTTCAGATACATGCAGTCAATTATAATGTTATAAAAATTGAAACAGTTGGTAAATTCAATATATTCAGGCTCCAAGGGCGCAGCCTCCTTCCGCGTCGCAAAAATCCTGGGTGCGTTCCTATAGTTTTGGATTTTATTCAATTAAATTGCACCCGTTTACAATCCAATTTATTAGATTTCAAAATGAATATCTAAAATCGGCATATAATTGAGGGGTGCCTTGTCAAAAAGTGAGTGAAAATTTATTACATGTTAAACGTAACTATTTCTTTAATCTCTAGTGAAGAATTTTTCTATGTCAGAAAACGTTTTTCCCAACGTTTCTGGCAAAAATATATACAAAAATGCAAATCCGAACAAATTAATGACGGACATAATATAGAATAAATAATCTAGACTAATAATATCTAACAAAAATGGAAATATTTTGAGCATCACGAACATCATAACATAAGCTAGTGACACAATTAAACCCCCTAACTTTCCCCTAGCTTTCACTGGGAGCAATTCCCCGATTAAAGTCCAAGGAATCACGAAATATCCCAGTGAACTAAAACATACATAACCTAATATGCAATACAAAGTTACGTTTTTATGGGAAAGATCTTTTGTAATATTCATTTCTTCATAGACGTCCTTTGGCACCAACGTCAAGCACATGTACAAGCCAGCTACTAGACTTGTAACACTCATTCCTAGGGCAGATATGAACATCAGAGGTCTCCTTCCCACTTTCTTTGAAATCAGGGCTGATATGATAGACATTACAAATCTTATTGTTCCCAAAACAGCCAATGCTACATATTCGTTCAGACTATTTCGAAAACGACCTCCGATTTCACGAAATAGATCTACAGCATAAAAGACAATAGCATATGCGCCAGACAGTTGTTGGAAAATGAATATGATCAGTAATATGATGAGAGGTTTATACACTATTGGCTCCATACACATGTTCAGGTCGCTTTTTATTCTACGAAAAACAGATTTGTTCTCAGTTGTATGTTTCTTCGTGCTAGAAATTCTTTGAAATTCATGTTCAAATACCTTAAAAAAATGAATATTATTTTGAGAAGTGGATTTGTTCAGTAAAATAAATTACCAAATTATTACTGTAGATCCAAGTTAATGAGTTCGCTGTACCTTGGGGATCGTTCTTGAAAACTGTCAGCCAATGAGGACTTTCAGGAATGATCAAAATAAGAGCTGATATCAACACGACAAAACAAAAATAAAGAAAAGACATTGTTCTCCAGTTGAACCATAATCCTGAAATATCGAAAGTATTAAATTTTTCAGAAAAAATTAGTGATTGAAAAGATACAGGCATTTCAACAACAGGAAAATCAAACAAAATCAAAGAAATGTAAATATATACCAAAACCTCAGTATTATTTATCGGTATTGGATAAACATCACATAAAACATAATAGGTAAATAGAAATGGCGTACTGAGTGAAAAACAGCATTAGTGGTTCTGTTGTGAAGATATTTCTTTACTTATTCATTCATTATGATACTCACCAAAAAGGCACGTTAAAAGTATTCCAAAGGCAACGAAAACGCTATTCAAATTCAATAACATCGGTCTCATTTCAGGATGGGAGATTTCACTAACATAAACCAAAGATACTGTAGTTAATCCTAAAATCGAAACATATTTCAAAATTGTTTTCTTTGGAGATAGTTTTCTTCACCCAATTCATTTTTATTTTATAAAGTTTTTTCAATCATCGTGATATGGTAATAACTAGTTTTCAAAATTAAAAATCCTTCGTTTGGATTTTTTTTTTCATTTGACATACCTGCACTAAATCCTGATATAATTCTCGCCAAGTATATGTGCCAAACGGAGTTTGCGTAGTATTGTAATACCCACGCAACTGTGAAAGGGATGCTTGCTAGGAAACACACTTTTTTTCTACCATATCTGTCCATCAATGGTCCAACTACCAAAGCTCCTAGCGGCAATGCTATTGCTACGATACTTNTAAAAGTCGAAATTACGAGATAAAAGTCGAAATTACGAGATAAAAGTCGAAATTACGAAATAAAAGTCGAAATTACTAGATAAAAGTTGAAAATTCGACTTTTAGGTCAAAATTATGGTGGATTAAATAAACAAATAATCTTTGGCCCTTCTACTCTTCCATACAGGAGTGACAATCGAAACATCAAAGAAAAGAAGCAAAGTGTATAAACGCCATTATCAATATGTACTTATTAAGAACCAAACATTCTAAATGCATAGAGCCATGCTCATGGCGAAGTGCTACTAGTACAAGTCTGACGCGCGTGCCAATGAGGATATACACTTGTTTGGATGAATGTTAACTATCTTCAGGAAGGCATAACGTATGTTGGAAACCAGAGGACAAAGTGGGAAAGGCTTACGGCAAAAGTAAGAAAAGGTTTCAAGATAGATTTCCGAGGTTAGTAAGAAACCAAAAAAAAGGAAAGATCGGAACTACTCGTATGAAGATAGATAGTTCTCTATACCAATGTTCTTATACCAAAAAGTAAAAAGTCTAAACCTAATTAGGTAAAAGTAAGCATTGCCATTTTCCTTTATGGAAACGTCATCGATACTATTGACGGGAAATTCAAAAAAAAACAAGCTCATTCAAGATAAACAAGGGTTACCACGATGATCTGTTGCAAAGCCAAGCTTCAATATTGACCGTCGGATGAGAAATTGATTTTTACTTTCCTCTGAAGCGTCCATAATCCATCAGATAACTAGATGAAAGTCGAGACCAAAAACGAAAAATCACAAAAACAAAGCATTCGTGCAAGGCTGAGCAAATAAATGTAGGTGTCGTTGGGCCCAACTGTCTCAAGAAACAATCAGATTGTTTTCCAAGGAGAGTCATTATCCTTCCTAAATTCTCGGGGAGCTACCAATATAAACACTAAGCTAATGACCTTTGTAGATGACACCGCTGATATCAAAAAGAAAAAAAGTGAAGTAACAAAAAACATTTCTTACCTATCCAGGAGGATTGTGATTTGGATATATTTATATCACTCTTGGTCCCATTCAACTGTGGAAGTAAAACTGCGCTGAAGGCCATATTAACTCCAGCCTGAATAACTATGGTATTTGCTATACAGCATGCTAAAATCTGAAAATAATCCCATTTATATATATATATATATATATATATATATA